GTGTTTGTTGAGCGGCCGGTACAGCCGCGTGCGTCTGCCGCGGTCGCCGTCGTCCACCGTCCCGTCCGACGCCTCGTCCGTCGTGCTCTCCGGACGCTCCGAACCCGGCACGGCGGCCAGCGGCCGGTCCACCGCCGCGCGATCAACCGCGTCCGCGACCGCGACGCTCGTCCAATGCTTGTCCTTCACGTACTTCGCATAGCTCACAACTGGGCCGACGGGTGTCGCCGCCGTCTGCGTCGTTTGGATCGTGTAGTCGAAAAACGTGAAGTACACCTACGGGAAATCGGCTACGTTTCGATTGTTTTTTCGACACTGTAAGATATTACCACCGCCCGGTATTGTATTCCTACCACTCGATCGACCCAGCCGAGAACGTTCTAGGATACCATAACCCTATCGGACGAATTAAGATTTTTCTGGTACCTTATTACCGCCCCCGATTAGAGGACCCCAAGGTTGTATTACTTCGTAGACGATGTAACGACTATAAGGATGTTCACGGCGGGACCGATCGAATCGTAGAAGAACCTTACCTTACCTTCTGGTAAATTTAGCTTTAGATATTATGACTACCTCCTCCCCTTATACTTATAATGACTGAGATTTGAAGAAGAAAAGTGCTCGATAAGCTATCACGATTCCGTCTTGGGGATCATCCGATTATTCCGTCTTCCTTTTTTTTATATTTGTTAACACGTCAACAGGATTCAGTTATTTATTTTGAACTTCTTCGACGTATAGTATTATTATTTGCATAAAATATCCATATTGTGAACTATAAATATAGATTTCAAAATGAAATGTTTAAAATAATTCATGTTTATCAATACATAAAACGGAGTAGATGTAAAGTCTATAATGTAACAGCACCGTTTATTTTTCTCTTTTTTTTTTATTTATTTTACTACTTCTTTGTATCTTTATAATCGCGGTATTGATTTATTTTGCGGTATGCTTATTGAAGCGTTAATTATTATATTTCTTGTTTAATTATTATCATTTTTTGTTTTCTATACTAGGAGAGGAGAAATAACTAAACCACAGGTTATACTCTAAATATTACGATTTCACAAAACTTTTACGTACGAGAATATACAATAATTTTGTAAGATACAATTTGTTGTTTTTTTGAGTTGAATCCCCTTTAATTAACAACTAATAATAATTATGTAAAATAAATTCAATTCACAGAACGAGTTATGTCGTTTAAATAAGAAATAGCAATAAAACACAACGAATAAAATGTGTACGCCAAGAACACCCAAATCACACTAAATAGTTAAGTTTAACTTAAATAGGTTAGTTACCTGTGTTGGTAAGATCTTCTTAGGAATTTGAAGATGTTTTTGATCAATGATTCAATTAATTATTAGAACTACGGAACCGAAGTCGTAAACTAGAAGTTTGAAATTTGAAAAATCTTAAAATTTAATTATTGTCGAAACAAATAAAAGTCGTATTTTCAAAACTATGTACGTACACTAAAATGAATGATTTATAATATTATAATGTAAGAATGTAATAAGTTTACAAAATAATCAGATGGTATACAGGTATTTTGTGTTAAGATAATAAATTTTCACTATTTTCGGTATTTTTTTTCTAAGAATATAACAACACAATTCTCGTAGTAATTCGCTTTCGTTTTTCGGCATAATATGCACGTTATTCGATATAATGATTTATGCAGTGCAATTAACGCGATGCATAACCCAAATTGTTCTACGGTACCCACCGAGCGGAAAGCAAATCCCGTTTACCGTACGTCGGCGGTGCGACTTACAGGTGAGATAACGAACTAATATAATCATGTTATTCATAAGACGGTTATTTAACACTGGATTTCAGTTTTCTAAAATTGATAAAAATCTGACGCTACCGAGGCAAAAACGAAAGTACGTGTCCGGAAAATTGGTCTGGCCACAACTGAACATAATAAAAACATAACGTGACCTTAAAACACATGCTTTGCATAGTTACCATCGACATAATTACTATTTGCCTGGCGAGTAGCTAATTAAAATTATTATCATAAACATTTCGTGTTCTAAAGCGTTCACGGTTCGGTTAAAATGTACGATTCGTGTAATTACTTGTAAAACGAACCTAAAAACGACCTGCGAAACGTTTACGGTCCTGTGGCAAGACGCTGTGATATTGATTAACGATAAAAATATCATGTATAACACATACACTATCATGCGGCGTATCGTATGATTTTCTCATCGCAAAATCAACATGTGAATTATTAATGATCTGGTATAAATTTGGAACTAATACGATGCTACTCAAAGTAGAGTAATGATTTGCGATATTCAGCAGGTTACATAAAAATCTGGTTGTACTCTGATGAAAATATTTGCTCGAAGTACATTATTTTCGCTTTCAGAATTGTAAATTGAAAATATAATTACCCTTTCGGTTTTAAAGAAAGTTTAATTGATATTGTCAGATTTCGGTACTAAACTGCTAATGCCATATGAAATAATTTCACCAGTGGGTTTCAAAAATATATACCATTTTATAAGAGTTTAAAAGTTATTTTAATTATTCAGAACAATCACTGCGTTACCGTTTTTCTAACGAAGATAAGTGTAACGTAACATCGTAAATTACTATCGATATCGAACACCAAACGTTCAATGTGCACTCGCAGATTTGGATCGAAAATTATGTGAGTAGGTATGCAGTGATTAGAAAACGTGTTCGATCGGAAAGAAGAGCGCGAAGAAAACATAACATTTTCAAAAAACATATACTGTTCAAGCCGTCGGTACACCAAAATGATTAACATTCGCTGCCGGAAAAAGACGTGCTTTTGAGCAGATAGCGTGCTATTAGTTTCCGAAAATAATAGCGATGTCACCGATTTGGCATTGGGTACAAAGTTTGATTCTTAGGTGGACACGGAGATCATATCCCCCGTCCCGTGAGTTAACATCGCGGCGACCCAAGCAGGTCGATGACGGAATCATTGTACCCCGTCGATTCGTAGTAAGTACGCGAAGTGTAACTGTACGGACCGCGATTAGGACGTTACCGGGGTCCAAGGCACTTCAGAGGGGGAGGAGGTCAATGGGATCATTTTTACCTAAGCCCTGTCGTTTTTGGAATATTTTTTAGGGTTTCCCCATAAAGTTTTGATGTATAATAATAAAGCCTCGATTACACCGAGCAATTTTACACGGTGCGTGTCGGCGATTAAAGCGACTTGTCCGATTACATTGAGCGATTTGATTATAAATAATATAAATAATATTCGATTGTATTATGCAAGTATATAATGCAGTACATGGATTTAAACGAGCTTGATCGGTTAAGGTTCGGCAAAATACGTTTGCAAGAATGTTGTTATTCTCAGAGACTATTTATCGTTTATCGTATCTTAATAGTATGGTTGAAGGACCCCCGAGTTAATTTGCTCCTGGCTCCGAAAAACCTTGGGACTATAGCTTACCACGACCGCAGCGGCGGCCATTAGCGACAGGACCAGCAGGCACCCGGTAGCCGGATCGGTCCCGCGCAACCGACGTCGTTTCCCGTCGCTCGGCTCCTTGTAGATCCCGAACTCGGACGCTTCGATGGTGGACTTCCTGTCCGGCGGCCATCTCGTCTCCAGATTCCCGACCGTGTCCATGGCGGCCCGGCGATGATGACGACGACGACGACGGTGGCATGCATGCGTTCGCGCGGCAGCCCGGTAACGGATTGCGGCCGCGGCGGAAAACCCGCCGTTCGTCTCTCGTCCGGCCACCGTTGCGGCGCGCGCGCACGACCAACACACACACGCTCTGTTAATTCGCCTGTCGGCTCTGCCGGTGCCCTCTCCTCTACCGCCCTGTAATCGTCGTCGCACGCAACCGGTGAACACTTGCTCGGCGTACCGAGTCATCCGCGCACCACTGACGCCCCTCCCGATCCTTTCGCGCGCATCCGAAGTCGAGCAGCGGCGGCCCGATCGAGACAATTTTCGGAAGGGCCGGAGAATTGGTTGTTTTCCCCTTATTTTTAAATCGTGTTTCGTGCGCGGTCATCATTTTCGTCGCGTTTTTCCCTCAAAAACGTTTTCAACGTTTCCGGTCATAAACGCGTGCAACGTGTGGACCGCAACAGGTGTTTTATCACGTTAGGTCGTAGTGAATGTTATCGGTAAATGTTGGCAGTGGCGTAAATAATTTAGGAGAAGCTAAACACTTTTTCGGGCAGGTTAGGTAAGAAATGCTTCGGGAATTCATCCATAAGCCACCGACCGTCAAATTTAAAAATGTATCTAGAGCATTTATAAAATAGTTTTTACAGTATTTATTCTATATAATAATGAATTTCTGTCTGTTTGTCCTTTATGCATTCCTTAACGGCTGGATCGATTGTGACGAAATTTGGTATAGAGATATATTACGAGTAGATCTATTAAACCTATAGGTAGGAGATAGGCTAAGTAAAAAAGTGATAAGCCCAACCCCGGGAGGCGCTCAAACAAACATTTTGAGATTTACGATGGAAATATTTGTTTATAGATGGTTGCTATTAGTTTTAATAATAATAATAATTAGTGCGAAAGAAATTATTATCCCTAAATTTATTATTATTATTTTTTATTATTTGTTTCCATGGCACGTGCGTTTAGGACATTAAATGATAGTGGTCATCGAGTTTTGATGATGACTAAGGTTGAATACATATAACGGTCAAACTATTTAAAACAACGACTAGCGCTAAAACGAAAATAAACGAGCTAAAATTAATTTCCACCAGTTTGTATCTGTTTTTTCTTTTAACGTTTTGACGATCTCAGAATCATTCTTTCCGCATTAAATTATTTAAGTATATTTTTATTCACAAAATTTATTAAATTTCTAATTGGACTATGAGTATTCGGTATAGTGGTAATTGTATATTTTATCACAATTAGACAAAAACATGATGTACTTCACAATTTGATTATAACATTTTATCATTATATTATAATTTGAGTACTATTTAAACGAAATTATTTAGTTTGGTAGTGGTTTTATTTGGTAGTGTAAATGACATTGATAGAATATTGCAAATCAAGTAATTAATATATATATATATATATTGAGGTCTAAAATTAAATCGCATACAAAAATGTCTTGAAAATCATCGAATATTCTAGCATAAGTCTTACTATCGGTTGTTTTATAAAACTATAGAATCACCAGTGTGAATCCCTTTAACCTACTTAACTAATGGTATAATTGAAGGATATTTTATACATCAGAGATAATTATAAAATATAGTCCGTAAAATTCTACGTATGGACTTTTATTAATTTTTCTAAAATTAAATTTGTATTTCGTTAATCAAGTGTTGTGAATCGTATTTGAAATATATGACGTATTCGCAAAAAGTTAAAAGATTTTACTTGAATAATAATGTAAATGCACGGGATTTTTTGCTGGGTCATACAAACTCACTTTTTAAATACATTTTGACAGAAACAAAATAAATATTATATTAATTTACTCCTGTCGATGAAATAAATTTATGTTTTGTCTGATGTTTAAGTCTTGGAGAATTTAACATATGTCTAGAATATAATTTTATTTATTCGTAAGGATTTCATTGACCAATTTGTAAAAACTCGTTAATAAAAATGAGAGTTCACCAAGTTTTGTCATGGTAATTTTTATATTATTTTATACTTATAAATATTATAATGATAATTATATCAGAAAAAAACGAATATTGTTTAATGTAACACAACACAATATACAATTTATTTTTTGTATAGTTAATTTTATTTAAAATAATTATCACTATTTAATTTGTATTTTTATAACAGAATGTAAATAAAACGTATATAATATTTTCCTACATTATTATTATTGCAGAAGATATTTTTTATTTATATTCAATCTAATAAATATTTTTGTGTTTGATTATTTATAAAAAAGAATAAAGTAATATAAAATAAAATTTTTTTTTAACATGTAAGTATTGAATTATATAACATTATCTAATAGCAAATTTAAAACACAGACACCTTATGTTATTTTGATTCAAATAAATTAAAATATTTCATTTTATTTATATTTTCTACTATCCTAGAATGTATACTCTAAAGTATTTTTAAAGAAAAACGTATTTTTTTCATTTTTATGTATATAGAAATATAAGTATTTAAAAAATTGTCAGATATATTCTTAATTTTAAACTGCCCATAAAGATTTTAATTAATATGATGCGAATTATTAAATAAAAGTTTACCGTCTTACGGTTTCCTTCATCTTGACGTTCGAGGGGTCAGGTATGTTATTTAGATGACGTAGACCAGTGGTTTTCAACCTAGGGGTCGTGACCCCTAAGTGGGTTGTGAATCATAGGTTCTGGGATAGCCTAAAATAATGGATGAAATGGTTTTTCATATTAGTTAAAAAAAAACAAAGTAAATTATTTATTTTGTGAAATTTTTTAGTGTTGATTAATCAAAAATCTTTATCATGTAAATAAAACCGAAAAAGGTTGAAAACCACTGACATAGACGATTTCGTCAGTATAATGAATTTTTGTTTTTTCAACAAATCATATTTTTGACAGTGATTGTGTATAGTGAGATACAGTACGGTACAGTTATTATTTTATATAATAAAATATTACCTAAATGGTTTCTGGTAAGTATCATACAGTACCGATAGTATGATAATGATAGACGCAAAAAAGTAGCGTACATGTCTTTATATTAATAATTTGTAGAAGATACCGTGTGATCTTCAAATTTAAACGTGCTTACAGGGGAACGAAATTTGTATTTTACTCAAGCCTACAACATTATAGTTGTTCATATAATATTAGAGTTTGCAAAAAACAAATTATTTCTAGAAATTTCCTTTTTCACGATATCTATGAATAATATCAGTATCTACCGTTAGATATACATCTGAAACTGATATAAATAAGTTGAAAATTCGTAATTATTTACTCTGTACATATAAATAAATTTTCCAGACTAGAAATTATAATGTTATTTTCCGTATCACTGGTAGTCGGTGTATGCATAGATTAAATATATTATATATTTGTATATTTAATGTATGGTGTATGTTACTATAGATTTGATAATAGTATTTGGTTTTTCATGGACACGAAGAATAATAAATTAGGTTTAGACCAAAGCATATTATTTATATGGATTAATTCTATCGTGGACAGTCATAGTCAAGAAGATTTTGAAATAACAAATACATATCAAGTAATTTATATTAACGATTTATGACTGTATTTGTTTATTAATGTTTGATTTTACACGATAAATATTATTGTAACACCAATAGTAATTTAGAGATCACTCGTTTTCAGCAATTTCCGAGTTCGTGTAATATTTCGGATGGTGTAAGATGTGTATTACATGTAATATAACCAATGTATTGTGATAAAGATTCTGTAACCACGTGGAGTGAATATAAAAAGTAATAATAATGTTGTAATATGCGAGTAAATTTATTTTTAGTCATTATGTCTGCAATATACTCGGTAGACTGTGAATTATGACCAAAAATTATTAGATTTACACATCTTATATTTGCGTTTTCTTTGTTTTTTAACAAGACTGAACAGAATAAAGTAAAAAAAGAGAAATATGTAATTTTTTAAAACTGCAGTTCTATAAAAATACTAATTACGATTTGCATCTAAAACGAAAAATTTGAATATAAATAAAATATTATTTTCATTTTTGACATTTTTTATTTTGATTGTTTTCAAATTCAACAAACAAAGTTGGTCAATAGTTAAAATTAAATTAGGTATTCAAATGTTGACTTAGTGATCATTATTTGTTTGAATATGATTCTATAAAAATTATATATTCTATTTAAAATATGAAATTAGGAATTCTTAAGATATAATTAACAATTATTTACATATTTTGTCACATTGTATATTAACAATTTTTAAATAAATCACAGTATAATTGAACGAAAAACTTTTTTTATAACAGTTATTTATATTCTAATATAATTATTTATTTAAATAAATAATGAGAAAACTTATCTCTCTATTCAGATCAAGTTATTTATATTGTTACAAAAAAAAAAAAAAAACGAATGTTTTACTATTGTAAATTGAGTGTATTGATAATGGTTGTATACATAAAAATGTATTATAATATTTGAACTTATAGATTCATTTTAAAATATCTTTATAGTATGTTTATTAGTTTAAATAAATAGTATAAAAAAATTACAACCTTTGTAGATCAGAAGTTGTATTCTACATGTTATAATATTCATATAAAACTATATATATATATATAGTTATTAAAGTTTAGTCATTTTTTATTTTATAATCAAATTGAGATTTTTATAGTTAAAAATATATGTTTATTTTAGTTATTTAATATTTTATTTTTTTAAAAAAAATTTTTTTTTTTTGCTTCAAATATATTATTTTAAAATAATAAATATCTTCTAAATAACTATAAAATTTTTATTTTTATAGTGTACAACCTGTAAACAATGTTTGTTACAATTAGTTTGAATGTAACACTTGTGCGGTGACGTAGAATAACTGGATTTAAGTCACCCATTAGTGACACTTGATACAATAACTTATAATTTTTTAGTCCAGAATTTTTTTTTAATGCTAATTAAAATAAAATATTAAGGTAGCTTTATATAATATATTGTAAATCAGTGTTAATCCAATATTGAAATACATATCTATATACTTCTATGTACTAAGATACTATCTACTCGTATGCTTCTTTGAAATACATAATTGTGAAGATAAAATATTATTACCATTAATTTGAACCGTTGGCAGGCTATAATA